GGTTCACTAGAACACACAAGCCCTCTGACCAGAACAAGATCACAATCCACTGTTACAGATGTGCTTAAGAACAAATTCTACTCAGTTCCTTAATACAAATGACCACCAATCACAACTTGGCAAAAGAACAGTTATGTGAATCAGTTCTAAGAATTCATTTGAAATTTCACTTTTAAAGCATAACGCATGAGCACCTCTCATGGTTACACCAGAGACGCAGTAAACTTAGATGAAACATGGGGAAAGACATTCTGAAGAACAGACTGTGTCAAGCATTCTAAAATTGTATGCCAGATCAAACAGTTCCCTGCTGTATTCTTCTGCAAGCCTGCTTTTTTTTTACAGTCTTCTTTTTACAGAAGAATTCATAGTCTTCCTGACCAAATGAGTCACAGAAAACATAGCTGGCCAAAGACAAATGAGAAGATCTCAGAGCACACACCACCCAGTTGTCTATAATGCTGCCAGAGAAAATAGTGACAAAGTTCCTAATTGTACTGTTCAAGTGCTGGATAATCCTTATGTGTGAGTCACAGAGACCACAAAGAAGAAACTTGAATTCATATGCCAGAATTTTATATTGCTAAGGGACTGACTACAGGATTGCTTCTTACGTACTTCTTTAACATTTTAGATAGAGAAAGCATTTTAGATAGAGAAAGGAAAAAATTAATCTAACTGAAAGAGAGAAATAATGGTCAAAGTTTGCAAGTCAACATGTCACCAAATGTATCACATGAAAATAATTGGCATTATCACTTGTATACTGCTGTTAAGAGAGGAATAAACCAACTGCTTCTCTGTTGAAGTATATATTTTGTAATATATTTTACATTTAATTTGTCTGGATTGCAAGATTGTAAAGTGCATAAGGAAATGAATTTTAACATACCATTTATCCTTACCAGCTGGACAAAAGCCAGTGGCATTGGGTCAGGAAAGACACATCTGGCAACTGCAAGTCATGAGATGGGGGTGAATTAACTTGCTCAAAGTTGAGTAAGAGACTCTTCTGACTCAGTTTCAAAGAACTGCAGGTTAAGCATCCCTTATCCAAAATGTTTGGACTAGAAGTGTTTTGCATTTTGGAATGCTTGTATTTGCATATATGTATATAATGAGATGTCTTGGAAGTGGGACCCAAGTCTAAATGGAAAATTCGTTTATCATATATACTCATGTATAAGTCTAAATGAGAAACTAACACCCAAACAAGAGCAACAATAAAAACCTGATATCCACTCAATGCAGAACCATGGAATCCAAATCTATGATTTTACTTTTTCATACCAGGGAATAAATAGTCTCTCTAGGAATTTGCTATGTCCTACAAGAGATTCTATGTTATGCTTCCCCTGGATTTTACCACAGAGTTGCACTGGAGGACCTAGCAAATTCCTAGAGAGATTACTTCTCTGGGAATCTCTAGGTCCTCTGATGCAACTTTATGTACTGCTAGAGCCAGAACTAAACTCAATAATGGCTTCAATTATAGCCATGTTTTCAGGTAACTGGTGTGCCTGAAGCCATATTCCCACTAGATACAGGGGTATTACTGCATAATTTAACAGTTTTTTGTAACATTTCTTTTGGATTGTCTAGAAATATGCAACTGTTTTCCTTCACAGCCAAACATACAACTTCATTCAAGAATCCATTTCTGGAGCCTAGGACTTGCACTTCTTAAACACTCTTCTACCTCACATATTATCTTTTTTTTTTTTAAAAAAACCAAGTTATTTTTTTCTTAAAGGGAAATCACTCTATTTTGAATCTGAATTCTAATTTGAAAGTGTTTCCACCAAGGATTCCTCCAAGTGTTTCCACCCAGGATCAGATCCTGGGATTTAGGGCCTGCCTGGAAGGACCCCAAGACTACTTAGATCCAACAGAAGTGTAAAAAGGAGAAAAGAAATAAATCTGGAAATGCTTGGGTCTCACTTCTATTTTTCAAGAAGTTGTTTTAATTATTGGGAAATGTTGCAGTTGTCAGAATCACAGAGTTGAAAGAGACCACAAGGCCAATCTGGCATCTGATTCACAGAATCATAGCATTAGAAGGAGCTTCATGGGCCATTGAATACAATTCCCTGCTTAATGTTCACTTGTTAGGGATTTTTTTTTTGTTGCTGTACACCAACTAGAACAACAAGAGAGGCAAGATACAAGGAAAAATACTAGTATGCGGTAACAATAATGAATAGATGCAATAAAGAATCAAACATGCCTCATAATCTGGATTTTTGTTGTTATTTAGAGATCAACATGACTGCTAGATCTTGAATCTGCAATGTATATACCTCAGTGGTTACTCCTTCGCTTTAAAAGGAGCTATATAGATTCTCATCCTTCAGAGTATCTTGAAAAGAACCACCTCTTCGGGATAATTATGTTAAGCAGACATCAGATGAATGTATGACAACCATCTAACCAGCCTGCAGATTTAGGAATCCACATGTAGGCTGAGAAGATGCCTGCTCACACATACACATAACACTGTATAGGATGTTAAAAGAGCAAAGGTCAAATTTCGACCAACCCTCCTTCTGCAATAAGTGCTTCAGAAAATTCTTGGAAGCATCAGACAGAAGAACATACGCTGTTTTGCAGTCATAAACATAAGAGAATTTACAAAGAAGAAAGAATCTTTCTTATGCCAAATTCTACTGCAAAATATATTAAGAAACATACAATATAAAGCAAAAACCTTGAAACCAGCACTAAATATCATGGATGGCTATAGGTACGACATCACTTATATGTGGAACACATTAGTCTTCTTGATATTTGCAAACAAAGTGAAGTATATCTTCATGGAGCAACAGCAGTTGCACCGATACACTAATTTTCAAATTAGGAACCACTAGATGGCAGAGTAATAATAACCGTATGTTCCCTTTATGAAGAATTTGCCTAATAACTAAGGCTACATAACTGTAACAAAAGCAATGATTAAAACTGTATGTGAAGAACCCCTATTTCCGCTGGTGAAAAAGATAGTTGAGAGGAACATGTATGAAGAGAAGCAGGACTAGTGAATGAGGTTATTATAATTGATTCCTTCCCTGGTTACATCCCTAGAGTAATATTCAATTAAAACTACAGTACAGCAATTCATAAAATCACACTATTAATCAAGCCTTCCAGGTATCATAATTTTGAAAACAGCTAGACTAGAAATCAAAGAGACCACAGTTCACTGATTAAGCTTACAGGGGGAAATTAATGTCCCATTTCTGCTGGTGGAAAGGTTACAGAGAACAGATACGAAGATAGATGGGGATTCTGATTGATACAAAGGAGCTGTGAAAATACAGAACCTAAGATGTTTCTGGATTTCAGCCAAGAGAAGAGTACTCATTTGGTAATGTGCTGATTAAGGTAGTGATTATAGTCTGAGAAACAGGGAAGTCTGACAAAGCATATCAACTAATTTTCATAGATCATGTAAGTTGCTAAGATAATATTCACATGTGGACTCCAACTCCCGCCATCCCTAGCTACCATGGCTATTGGCTTTTCTGGATTGCGATGCCGGTTGTGTTTAATGTACCTGGAAGGCATTAGGTTGAAGAACATTGCTGAAAAATTATTAAAGGACTAGCTTCATGCCATGCACAAAGTGAGGAAAACATACTACACAAATAGTGCAGAGCTGATCCTAGTAAAAGCAACATCTATTTTCAATAAATACTTATGCACATATTGGATTCCCTGATCCATTGAAGGCCCCTGATTCAGTAAATCATCTCTCTTAGTGAAAGGAGGTGAAAACATTCTTCATATCTCTACTTCTTATGCCCTCACCCCACACAAATCCCTACACTTCTTGAAAATCTCCTCTGATATTATTGGGTTGTTGTGTGTTTTCCAGCATGTATGGCTATGTTCCAGAAGCATTCTCTCCTGACATTTTACCTGCATCTATGGCAGGCATCCTTAGAGGTTGTGAGGTCTATTGGGAACTAGGAAAATGGGGTTCATTTATCTGTGGAATGTTCTCTTGTCTGTTGGAGGTAGGTGTGAATGTAGTAACTGGCCACATATATATAATCTCCACTTTCCTAGTTTCCAACAAACCTCACAACTTCTGAGGATGCCTGCAACAGATGCAGGCGAAACGTCAGGAGAGAATGCTTCTGGAACATGGCCATACAGCCCAGAAAACCCACAGCAACCCAGTAAAATCACAGCCAGATCCATTATCCATCCAACAACCCAGTGATTCTGGCATGAAAACTTTTGACAATACAACGGTATTATTATTATTTATACCCCACTTTTTCTCTCCAAAAAGGAGACTCAAAGCAGCTATATTGTTGGACTCTCCAGAACAGGTTTGGAACTGGACTTGGAATCTGAAAAGAGGGGAAGTTGGTAAATCGAGAAGCCCTGCTTGCTAGAGACAAATAAGCAGAACTTCACATCAGGTGTTCTATTTTGGGTAGTGGATGCAATGGACCCATCCCTCGTACTCTCCAAACCTTCCACATGACTGTGAATCTGAACGATATAGGATTTTCAGTTGCATGAAAAGGTTATTAGACGTATCAACTCATTTTCACAGATCATGACAGTTACTAAGATAATATTCACATGTGGACTCCAACTTGCCCAAAAGTCGCAAAAGGGTTTCAATATTATTTTTTGTTTCAATTTACACCTTAGCATCATATACATGTAGGAAATAAAATTACATTTTTTCAAATTTACCCGTAAAAAGATATTAAAACATCAGATGCCATTGTGACTTTTGGCTCACCCTGTACAATGGAGACTAAGTAGAAGTCTATTTCAGATATTGTGCTGAACACAAGGAGAAAAAGTGAGGTATAAATAATAATAATAATAATAATACCATTGTATTGTAGAAAGTATTTTCCTCCATTTTTTCAACATACATACACACACACACACACACACACACACACACACATAAAGGGATAACAGATTACACAAAGTTCCAAGCAATCCAAACCCAAGATAGGTAAATTGCTTACTGATGTAAAAGCAAGCAGCTCCTCTTCTGTAAGCTTATGGACTGGGTTATTCTTCTGAAAATCTATGCTGTAAAAAAACATATTCTGAGTATTAATTTGCAAAAATTCTATATAATCCTGGAATGTTTGGATAGAAATCTTAAAGAAAACTTCAAAAAAATAAAATTATGCATATTTTACATCAAAATAATCACCACACAATCCTCTGTTCTGAGTGGAGTAGATGTCCCTACAAATGTATATGAACCCAGCAGAATTGGAATTCATTGCTTCTACCTCAGAGCACAGGGACATTTTTTTGAACTCCAACTCCTAGTAGCCATGAAGGCTGAGGGATTTGGAGAGATGCAATAAAAAATTGCTTTTCCAAGTTTTGCTCCAGGCGCCGCAAATACTTTGCAGCAGATCTCCATGTGTGGAGTCTCCTTGCCTTGAAGCATTTTTCCACTGACAAGCACTGGGTTTTTTCCTTTCCTTTCCTTTTTTATGGCTATGATTTTTGAAGATGACAGATAGAACCAAGTATCCTCTTACCAAATTCCAAGGATAACAGCAAGCTCTTCAGCGCACAGGTCAGGCATCTGGTTCTGATGAGATTCTGCAAACTTTATTTCATTTAGCACGGTGTCGTCATCTATAGCATAATTCTGTTGGGAAGTACAGAGAAGTGATAAAGTGCATCTAACATCATTCATCTGTTTGGAAGATGCAGTAAAAATAATAATAACAGTAATAAAACAATTTGCACAGCAGCAGTAACAATTTTAACATTGCCAGAAATATCAATCCTGAACTTGAAAAATCAGTAGAAATATTTTCTTGGCTAGCAGAACAGCTACTATGTTGAAGACATTTTTTGAAAAGTAGGTCGGTTAACAGAACTGTGAATTAAGAACAGAGGCTATGTAAAGGAGGAGAAACATTTGGAAAGACATTTTCCATTTATCTTCCCAATCTCTAAAATCAGTGCTTTTCAAAAATATACTTCACGAAATCAATAGTGATAAATATGTTTTCTTGAAAGGCTGTATGCAAGTACAGCATTTTTTTATTCTAAGATGCACACCCTCCTCCCAATATAAACATCTCTCAAAATGGGGTGCATCTTAGAATTGCAGTAGCTGCTTTTTCTGTTAGTGATATTGAAATCTGTATGTATTACAGCTGATGGCGCCTTAGAATGGAAGAAGTGTGGTATATTTGTCTTTATCACAAGTCCATCCAAAGTAGGAACAGGATCTGAGCAAACATGCAAATATTCTACCAACTCATCCAATAAACCATGCACAAGTCACTGTTTCTCCCCAAATGTGTTCAAATGGGCACGGGGCTATTTTCACCACTTCTTTGTGACACCCAGACCCATATTAAGTCCAAGAGAAGCCATTTTTAAACAATAACAAGTGAAAGGAAATGCTGGTTTATTTCCTGGTTTTTAAGCCCCTGCTGCAGAGCTCTCCAGACATTTCCAGTTGGTGACACACTTTTTAGACACAATAAGTCAGTTTAACTAGCAAACTGGAGGTATGGACATATAAATAACATGTATAGGGACACAAAATATCTCATGATTTTTTCATATGGCACATCTACACACTGCAGCCAAACATGAATGTGTCCCAACACACAGTTTGGAAAGCTAATCTACAAGTTAAATTGTAAACCATCTAGCTTTCAAAATACTATACAGAAGTTGCTTTGAATTAAATTCCATGTTTGGTTTATGAAAAATCTGGTCTTAATTTATCTTGTTTGATGATTCTTCAAAACCTTTTTAAAAAGTAATATCTATGATACCAAAGGCTGTACAGTCAAAACGACTGTAACAATCAGTTCTTGATTATGAAGATGGGCTTTGCCATATACTTTTGCAACATTTCTCCACACTATTTTGTTTCCTTTGGGTTACCACTGGAGAAGGGTACGGTTTACATACATTTTTTGCTTCTGTTAACATAAACAATTTGAACCAGCAGACATATTTTTGGCATGATACCAGAAGCTTTTCTAATTCAAGGTGACAGCAGCCTTTAATGAAGCTCCTAGTGATGAACCATATGCACACATACATATACGAGAAACTAAAAGGTAGTATAGAAGTATTTCCATTCACCATTAAGATCTAGTCAGGCATTAGATTAAGTCTTGTGGCTTAATTTCTTCACAGTGAAGGTAAATGTTTCCTCTGACATGAAGTCTAGTCATGTCTGACTCCGGGGACTGGTGCTCATCTCCATTTCAGAGCTGGCGTTGTCCGTAGATGCCTCCAAGGTCAAGTGGCCGGCATGACTGCACGAAACATCATTACCTTCCCACCGAAGCGGTACCTATTGATCTATTTGCATGTTTTTGAACTGCTAGGTTAGCAGAAGCTGGGGTTCACCCCGCTTTTTGGACTTGAACCGTCAACCTTTCAGTCAGCAAGTTGAGCAGCTCAGCGGTTTAACCCGCTGCACCACCAGGGAGCCCCAATTTCTTCATAGTCAAGGTATATTGACTACTGATATGTATAGTTATAACATTCCTTTATCTCATTAGTATTTTACAATTAAGACATAAAATTATATTACACAAGAAATGTTAATATAACTTTTACTTAAACCTGCACTATAAAGTCTTAATTTCTATCATCCTCAGAAATCCGCTTATCCTTTATATAAGAGAATAAATAATTATACAGACACACAAAGAAGCCAACATGGTGAAATGTTTAGTAGCATTTCGCAGGACAAAAATGGTATAAACCCAATTCAGTCGTATACCTTAGTTAAATCTTCTTGTGGGGTAGGTGCTGGACTAAGTTCACGGTGAGGAAGAAGTACGTTGTCTGTCCTTTGAACATCTAATATGAGTTGTGCTACATATTTTTCTTGAAATCGTGTCCTTTTGCCCAGAGCACCTGCAGGAAATTAACCATTAAAAAAGAGAACCTACTATTTAAAGCAGGGGAGAGCCTCTGGCCTCTTCTTTGGGGTTTCAATTTCAGGGGATTATGTAAATTATGTATAACAAAACTGAGTGCCAAAAACTCCCCATCCTGGGATTAATGATAGAAACGTGTACATATGCCTCCTTTGAAGGCACAATGAGTATTCTTTGCTGACATGAAACAGATCTTAATCTGGTCAGTACCTGAATGGGAAATGGTCTGGAAACACACACATGGCATCATCAGATCCGTGCCAGAGAAAGAATTTTAAAAATCACAAGAAATAAATACTGAAAAATCTAGAATTTGTAACAAAGATGGGGTTAGGTAAAACAACAAAAGCAGAGAAAATTTGATAGGCTTGAGTCAGAGAAGATCTGTTGGAAATAGCAACCTTCTCAAGCCTCCACTAGTTATTTGTTATGTATATAATTGCTTACTGTATCGTATATGTGTATTGGTTTGCAATTTTACCTAATCTCTTTGTTGTGAGAGAGGCTGCAGACCATGTGATCAGGTCTCAACAGGTTCAAGACCTTAGATGACATTTTAGATCAGTGCTTTGTTTTGAGAAGCATGTAGAGAAGTGTGTGTTTGCATCAGAAGCAGTAAGTACAGTTATACAGTTTAGACTTCAGTAAGAAGCATGCTTTAAGAGACCTTTGGATTATTGTTTCTAAGGAAGATGTCCTGTGTTACCTCCACAGAGAAACTACTTAAAATCCTAATGTAACAGGATTCATAAGCGAAGTTTGTGTTCATGCAAGTAACTGTAAGAGTCTCAATTAAGTTGTATGTTAAATCTATAAAGAAATTGTCATTAAAGCAAGGCCCATCAACTTTTAACATTTTCCTTTGACTTCTGCTGCTGTGGTGAATTTTGGATGCCACCATTCTCTTTAATGATCAGGTCCAAACCAAACTGGAAGACATAAATTTTAGCCTTTCCTGATCTTGGTTTACCTTTTTTTTTAAGATGGCGTAATATATTGCTTTCTTCCTCCACCCACAGAAGCAGAAAGCTTCCACAAGACCTTCATTAGCTCATAGTGAGCATACAGTAACAAATCATGTTTCTGACAGTGGCAATTCCCACAGAACCTCACTAATCAGAATGCTACCATCAAAGTAACCTCCTTACACCATCATTCTAACCATAAATAAACCCACATATTTTGGTTCCTTACCAACTTGGCTTCTGATTTAAAGTAGCAGCCTTCTAAGCATTACTTCTAAGGACTGGTTTGTGATATTATATTTTTAAATTACATGGGCAAACCCAAGAGACTTTAGGAATGTGTTCAAAAATAATAGGTAAGCTTGGATGTCCCACTATTGAGGATTTATGTAGTTCATGAAGTGAAATGTTGCCTAATAGGTGCATAAAGGAGGGATACTACAGTAGTTCCTATGCCATAAAAAAGGGTTCAATTCAGCGTGAATTATGTTTAAACAGGCAGATATATATCAGTTTTATGAAAACTATCAAGGAGATCAACACAATTTATTAAATAAGTCATGAAGGATCAGTTCCAGAAATGAAATAAGTCAAAGATAAAAGGGATAACAATAGCTGGAAGCAATGCAAAATTTGATTTGCTATTTACACAAGATTCAGGAAAAAAGAGGGAAATATAGGTACTGGATTGAGGAAACAGTTAATTACAGTTAAAGAAGAGAAAATGAAGATATATGAACCCACAAGAGCCATGATCATTTGAATTCTGCTCCTGTCTTCTGGAGTATTAGCTATCCCTTCCAATTTGATGTCGTTTGCAAACTTGATGACCATGCCTTCTAACCCTTCATCTAAGTCATTAATAAAAATGTTAACAGGACTGGGCTCAGGATTGGGCCCAGGACGGAACCCTGTGGCTCTCCACTCGTCACTTCTTTTGAAGATGAAGAAGAAGGATTGGTGAGCACCCTCTGGGTTCGTTTGCTTAACCAATTACAGATCCACCTAACCATAGTTTTGCCTAGCCCACATTTGACTAGTTTGTTAGCCAGAAGGTCATGGGGGACCTTGTCGAAGACCTTACTGAATTCCAGATACGCTACAGCTTGTAACTTTAATTTCTGCTGAGCCATTTCTGCAATGTTTATGTAATGGATGGCCAATCTGGATGTCATAACATGTGTACTGTTCTGCGTACCTACTTTAATCTTATTTTGAACTACCTTAAAACTGAGTTTTGAAAGGAAAGTTGAGAGTCAAATGAATAAAAGAGGGTTTTTTTATTTTTAAAATGCAAAACTGTTAAATAATCATCATGATCACAGTAGACACAAAGAAGAAATTTAATATCTCTTTCCCAAATTGTGATCCACAAAAAACTTTCCTGCGTATAAGTTACTTCACTGGAAGAAAACACATCACTGCCATAAGATGCTGTTTGGGAAACAGCATGTAAATATCATGTCTTGCTTGGCCCTACTTCTTCCTTGCTAATTGATCTACAAGAATAAACCCAAGCTCTGGAAATACCATTGAAGTGTTCCTAAGATATGAAGTACTGATTTTCAAGGTTTCTTTATTAAGTTCTAAGCTTCAGCACAATAAATTAAGTTTCAAAGAGTGAACAGTTCTAAAGCGTTAATTTAGTTTCTGATGCTCTTGGGAAGTTGTGCATAACTCACCTTTTGACTTCAACACACTAAATAATTTAAACAGAACAGGTGCAATGTGCTCTTTAAAATTAAGTTGTACAATTTTTGTTCCTTTCTTTTCTGGCATGGATTTACTTTCGTGAGGACAATTATATTAAAACCAATGCCTTCATAGTTGGAACACTCAAGAAAAACTTCAAACAAAGAATGAAAATGTTGCAGTCTTTTCCTTTTTTTAAACATGACTGATGTTCCGCATGGGATCCCTCATTAAACTGTTACCGTAAGCTATACATTTGAGGAAAAAAATGTATCAACATTTTGAAAACATTATTATTTTAATTTCGTTCAATGAACTCTAACACATGTGGTTTTTTCCATGATTGCTGGCTGGCTAATCTCTCACTTTTATCTCTTATTGCTGAAATGCTTTATTCTACAGCAGGTATGGGCAAACCTTCTCTCTCTCACCATCCCTTCCTTCTCTTTTCCTTCCTTCTTTCCTCCCTCCCTCACCTGACTCTTTCTTCCTCCCTCCTTCCTTCCCATCCACCTCTTCATTCTTCTTTTCTTTCCTCTTCCCCTCTCTCTCTTTCTCCTTCCTTCCTTTCTTCCCTTTTGTCTTTCCTTCTCTCTCTCTCTTTCCTCCCTTCCCTCCTTCCCTTCCTTCCCTCCATTTCCTTCCTCCCTTCTCTTTTTCCCTTCCTCCTTTCCTCCTGCGGGATGTTCAGTTGGGAGAAGAGAAAGAGAGGGAACATGAGAACCATATTTAAAAGGATGTCCCATTGAGGAGCAGGGAGGGGGAAAACTGATTTTCTGCTGCTGTAGAGGCCAGGGCACAAGAGAGCACTGGTTTCAAATGGCAGAGAAACAGATTGGACTGAAAAGATTAGGAAGAACTTCCTGAGAGTAAGAGCTACTGGAGAGTGGCACAAGCTACCTGGGAGTGTGGTGGAGTCTCCTTCTCTGGATGCTTTTCCACATAGACTGCTTATTGGGAGTGCTTTGATTGTGCCTTCTTGTATGGCTGGATGGCCCTTGGGGATCTCTTCCAGCTCTAGGGTTCTAGGATTATATATCAGGAGTAGGCAATATGGGGTTTAATGGATACAGTTTTTCTCTCCTGTCCGCTATCTCATCCTGGCCAAGGCCAACCCTTTTGGGGTCCAAACCCTTCCCTGCTTTGCTTCACTTTCTGCCTCCAAAAGAGAAGAGGAAAGGGAGAAAAGGGCAAGGAGGAATCTTGAGGAGAACCCCCTCCCAGACAACCCACCCCACTCCAGTCCACCATGCGGCCCCCAAGTTAGAAAGTTTGTCTATGCCTGTTCTACAAGATAACATACTTAGGTCACCCAGTCTAGATGGAATGCTCTATCAAGAAAAACATGACTTGATAAGTAGTGATTAGAAAAGGAGAACTACAAATAAGTTTAGCAGTAAGTTGTGAGGCTGGGTTAAGAAGGCAGTGGGGAAATGGGAGGATGGGGTTGACAGGACTTTTAACATCCTAACTCAAGGTAAACTACAGCCCCAATTAGGAAAAAAACACACAAAAATGGAAACAAAGATAGTAATCCCATTTTCATTGGAGAGTTGTCATGCAAAATACGTGCTCTCTTACAGAGCGGTGATGTCTCTCCCCAATGGTGCAGTTGTGATGTTCCCCATGGTACTGCCTTAATAGCCTTGTTAGGTCAGTGCTTAGTTCAAGCTTGGCTCCAGAAGGCATGAATGATGAATTGCCCTTTCTTTTGAAAACTTACAGATTATTTCCAATCATTCATTGCAGATCCTAAAGGAACAAGAATGTCTGCCATTATAGCTTTAAATTAAGCACCTGCCATTTGCAAATGAGCATGTCTATTCTATTTAAGCATTATAAATAAAGGTATTCTTTTCAAGCTCAAACCCAACGTGCCTGAAATCACAAATACCAAGCCAGAGATCAAAAGAAGAACACACCCAACCAATTAATGTTTATAAAAAAAACATAGCTGTATTTTGTTGGGCTAATGCCTCCTCTAAATGTTTCACTTTGAGTTCTTCATCTTTACCCAAGCTTAACAGCTGCAAGTCATAATATTATCTCACGATGTTGGCAATTCCTCCAGACCACATAACTTTACAAAACACGCTATTTAAAAGACAAAACAAGGGGAAAAAATGAATGGGAGGAGAATAGACAAACTATAAATCAGAACCGGTACTAAAATAATTAGAGGAAAAGAACAGAACTACCAAACATTAACATAGCACTGAAGATTATGAGAAGCTCCATGACACTCAATATTTTAGGGAAGTCCTCCATATGGTTCCCCTCCTAGATGTGTTACCATGGCCATATTGGCTGAGGGTGGTGGGAGTTATAGTTCAAAACATTGGAAAGCCTCTAGTTGGAAAAGACTTCTTTCGAACAACACTACCCAAAGTGACCATGGACCTCTGCTGACTTGTGAGCCATTGACAGCTTGCCCATGGCAAGCTTCCAGGAAGCTGTGTGAGTATGACCAGAGCAGGGTACATCAGAGCAAGAAGCTACATCTGTTTTAATAAAATTTCTAGTGTTATTCCAAGCATATTCTGCTCCAAAACTCTAATTTTTCAACCAACTACTGAGAAATCAACTATCAAGCAGTTTTCTATAAGCAATATGTTCATCAACATTTTTCACAATGATGATCCCATGCTAAGATATTTTGTATCTGCGACTATACCTCGTGAAGACGGATCTGGCCAGGGTGGTCCATGCCTTAGTCACCTCCAGATTGGACGACTGTAATGCGCTCTACATGGGGCTGCCCTTGAAAACAGCTCGGAAATTCCAGTTGGTCCAACGGGCAGTGGCCAGGTTGTTAACTGGTGCTCCTTACAGGCAGCGGTCAACCCTCCTGTTTAAGGAGCTCCACTGGCTGCCATTTATTTTCCGGACCCAATTCAAGGTGCAGGTTCTTACCTACAAAACTTTGAACGGTTTGGGACCGGCCTACCTGCGTGACCGCATTTCTGTGTATGAACCCACACGATCTCTTCGATCATTTGGAGAGGCCCTACTATAGAGATTAAAACCCCAATAGTTTCCAAAACGTAATATTCCTAAAACACTTTAACTTAAAATTTGGGATTATTACTTGGTCACAGACATAGGAAATATTCTTCTATAGGTCTATGACCTTTGACAAATTGGAAAGACCTATGATCGGAATTTTAAAGTTTAACCTTTCAAAACTCTGGAAGTTGTGATGAAATGAAAGTGAAACTATTCATTTAAACTGAACATGTGTATGAAATAATCTTCCAAAAATGTCTGTAAAGAATTCCTTGATAAAAGAGTCCCAGATGTCTATTTAATTACATTCCTCTGACAACAAAGACATTTTGATTTAGACAATCTCACAATCTGACTTGAAAATATGTTGCACTTGGTTTTAATTGCTTTATATAATATGTGACTATTGATGCGTTGGTTGTATTGTGTTAATTTTGTGATCGTTTGATATGTTACTTGTTATGTTTTATGTTATCTACTATGTTTGTATTACTATAAGCTGCTTTGAGTTCCTTGTTGGGAGATGGCGTGGGGTATAAAGATTATTATTATTAGTAGTAGTAGGAGTAATTGTAAAAATTTATAAGGCAATCCTGAAGCAGTTTTTGATAATAATCAAGAAACAGAAATTTCTAGTGTAAACTTTTGTAAATTCAGGTCTGCATGCATCTAACGAAGTGGACTGGCTTCTATGAAATTTTAATACTACTTTTTTTAGTTTCTTACAGGATTCTCTTATATCTGTTTTTGTTTGGTTTTGCTTAAGCAAGCTAAGGTAGCTATATTTTTAAATGCTGTTATCGTGTGACTTCAAGTCCTTTCCAACTTATGGTGAGTGTAAGGAAAAAAATATATCAGGATTTTCTTGGCAAGATTTGTTCAAAGGAACCTGCCATTGCCTTATGCTGAGAGAATGTAACTAGTCCATATTCATCCTGTGGGGCTAACAGCTCCACTCCACTCTCCGGATTTGAACCGCCGACCTTCCGGTCACTGGTTTAACCCAATGAGCCACCGGGGGTATGTACATAGATGTACATTATGTACATATATGTACCGTATATTCCGGCATATAAGACGACTGGGCGTATAAGACGACCCCCAACTTTTCCAGTTAAAATATAGAGTTAAGACGACTCCCAGGCATAAGACTACACCCGCATATAAGACGACCCCTGACTTTTGAGAAGATTTTCTTGGGTTAAAAAGTAGTCTTATATGCCAGAATATACTGTACTTGCATAAGTATTTTGGTGATAGGATCCAAATTCAAACATGAAATTTATTTGTTTCATATATATTATGCACATAGCCAAAAGACACCTTTATATATAATTTTGATAAATTTGTGCATGCAACAAACATTGTATACACTGAACCATTAAAAAGCAAAGATGCCACTATCTCTACCAGCCATGTGGACAATTTCAGATGTTTAATCTGCATTTAGTTTTAAATGACAGTTTTTACTGATTTAAGCAGTATTTTGCATGGTTTTATCTTCTTGTTTGCTTTGTTTTTTCGTGATTTAAAACAATTCTATTATTAGAAGCAACCATTAGGGTGGAAAAAAATAAAATACACATTTAATAAATAATTAAATAAGTGTTATTCACTTCAAGCCTAATGTCCTGGTTGAACACTGCATCCCACTATAGCCATTCTAACCAACAAAGATTCAAAGAAATATGCAACTTTAAAATATAAGTAATTCAAGAAACACAATTAACATGATGGGAATTCGTTATAAATTGCATATACTTTGGAGCTGTTTTCACAAAGGAAATTAGTCAGCTAATCATAGGAAACACCACACAAACAATATAAATACTCCTCAGCATGTCCTCCGTTGCTTTTCATTTAAATAAGTCTACTAATAGTCCGTGCTGTTTAGTGTTAAACATTAATGATCAAGAATTTGGAAAAGAAACATACCTGTCAAATCAATCTGTAACTTGGTTATGTTTTTAGCTGCAAGAAAGTGTTCTTTGGCTTTTTTATACTCATAATAATTCAAAAATGTGTAAGCACACTCTAGATGGAATTGAACAGCAAGATGCCAACATTCATCATCAGTGAACAAAGGCTCGATTTCAAGCACTGCAAAAAAAAGAAGGAAGAAACAAAAGACAATGACAATTAGAGTGTGTGGGATTTATAGGAGTATGTAAAGGAAGGTGTATCTGGTTTGTCACTGGGAACACAACCAACACTGATGTGTAAACCTATTATCTTCTTGGTTTTCAAATAGTTGGACTTTAGGAGCAGGCTGGGATATGTGTGCGCCCTTCAGATGTTATTGGTGCGCCAATGGTTAGAGATTTAATGAAAACAGCAGTCCACCATCATTTCAAAGACCACACTTCCCTCATTCCTGGATTAGAGAATGTATTTCATCCCCTCATTTTAACCATAGGTAAATTAAGAACTGAAAACACTATGAAACATCACCATAGGAATTAATCTAGTAGAAAGATGTTGTTTTGTGAAAAATGGAACAGACACACAAACACTCCCAGTCCAAATGTTGATATTCAACCATAAAGTTGCTTTTGGTCAAAGAGACTTTTAAAAAATCTATGACAGCCTTATTGACGTTGTCTCCATCAAAAATATGTATTTAGCATGGAATCTAGTTAACTTTTAAGATGTCTAGAATGTTAATGCTTTTAAATATGTTTAAATTCTAGAATAGCATTCCACTTCACTGCCTTGAAGTGAAGACTACAGCTGCTGTGAGTGGAACAAGGCTGGCAGGAATGGGATGGACTTATGGATTCTCCTTTCTAAATCCTACCACGTGCATATTTTTAGGCAGTCCCAACAGTACAAGATCTCCATGACATAAAAAACTCCCAAAGCTCCAAATCAAATACAATATTTCTTAAATGCTAAGGCACCATCAATTGTAAGACACACATTAATTTCACTATTATCAACAGAAAAAGCTTCATTTATATATATACTAGCTTGGGGACCCGGCGTTGCCCGGGTTATTAGAGAAAGTGGGTAATGGCGGTTCTGTATGCCAAGGTTGGTCTTTATTGGTCTTTGGATAACGGCTGCATTATTTTCAGGAAGTGAGTGAAGGTACTTGAAGTCCCATCATCCATGGCCCATCCTCCTACAAACAGCAGCAGGATATAGAGTGGGTCATGGGGGCTCTGTGTGCCAAGTTTGGTCTTTATCAGTCATTAGATGAGGGTGGCAGTGGTGTCAGTAAGTGAGTGAAGGTATTGCAAGTCCCATCATCCAAAGTCCATCCCCTTTCAAACTGCAGCAGGATGTAGAGTGGATCATGGGGGCTCTTTGTGCCAAGTGTGGTCTTGATTGGTCATTAGAAGAGGGTTGCAGCAATCTTTGGAAGGGAGTGGAGGTACTTGAAGTCCCATCATCCATGGTCTGTCCTCCTCCAAACTGCAGCAGGATGTAGAGTGGGTCATTGGAGCTCCATGTAGCAAGTTTAGTCTTGATTAGTCATTGGCGAGGGTCTCAGTGGTCTCAGGAAGTGAGCAAAGGTACTGCAAGTCCCATCATCCATCTCCAAAGTTTTCCAAATAACACCAGGACGTAAAGTGGGTCATGAGAGGTCTATGTGCCAAGTTTGGTCTTGATCCGTCATTGGATGAGGTTTGCAGAGGTCTCAGAATGTGAGTGAAGGTACTGGAAGTTCCATCATCCATGGTCCACCCTTCTCCAAAACTGCAGCAGGATGTAGAGTGGGTCATGGGGGCTCTGTGTGCCAACTTTGGTCTTGATGGGTCATTAGATGAGTTTTGCAGCAGTCTTGGGTAGTGAAGGTACTTGAAGTCCCATCATCCATGGTCTGTCGTCCTCCAAACTGCTCCAGGATGTAGAGTGGGTCATTGAAGCTCCATGTGCCAAGTTTAGTCTTGATGAGTCATTGGCGAGGGTCTCAGTGGTCTCAGGAAGTGAGTGAAGTGACTGCAAGTCCCATCATCCATTGTCAAATTCTTCCAAACCGCACCAGGATGTAGAGTGAGTTATGCGGGCTCTCTGTGTAAATTGTGGTCCTGATCCATCATTGTTGGCAGTTATAATGGTCTTAGGAAGGGAGTGCAGGTATTGCAAGTCCCATCGTCCATGGTGCATACTCCTTCAAACTGCACCTGGATGTAGAGTGCGTCATGGAGACTCAGTGTGCCAAGTTTGGTATTTATTGGTAACTGGATGAGGGTTGCAGTGGTCTAAAGAATTGAGGAATGGTACTGCAAGTCCCATAATCCACGGTCCATCCCCGGCCAAACCACACCAGGACGTAAAGTGGGTCATGAGAGGTCTATGTGCGAAGTTTGGTCCTGATCAGTCATTGGATAAGGTTAACAGCGGTCTCAGAATGTGAGTGGTGGTACTGCAAGTCCCATCATCCATGGTTCATACTCCTCCAAACTGCAGTAGGATGTCGAGTGGGTGATGGGGGCTCTGTGTGCCTATTTCGGTCTGTATTGGGAGTGTTCTGACCCAGCCCCCGGCCTTTCCTTTCCTCTCTTTCTCATCTCGGAATCTTGGATTTGAGGCTGGCCAATCAGAGACCATATGCAAATTTCCTTCTCATGTCCCCGTTTTTGCCATGATCCCTCTTCTCCACCAGGGGCTCCTATTGAAGTTGCCCAATCAGAGACCATATGCAAATAGCACCACAGCGGCAGCCAATCAGAACGCTGCCACATACACCTTCCTCCCTCTGTCCGCCCTCTGTCTGCCCTCTGTCCGCCCTCTGTCCTATACAAACAAACACTCTTCTTTATTATATACTAGCTTGGGGACCCGGCATTGCCCGGGTTATTAGAGAAAGTGGGTAATGGTGGTTCTGTATGCCAAGTTTGGTCTTTATTGGTCATTGGATAACGGCTGCATTGTTTTCAGGAAGTGAGTGAAGGTACTTGAAGTCCCATCATCCATGGTCCACCCTCCTCCAAACAGCAGCAGGATGTAGAGTGGGTCATGGGGGCTCTGTGTGCCAAGTTTGGTCTTGATCGGACATTAGTAAGGGTTGCAGCAGTCTTGGGAAGGGAGTGGAGGTACTTGAAGTCCCATCATCCATGGTCTGTCCTCCTCGAAAGTGCACCAGGATGGAGAGAGGGTCATGGGGGCTCTGTGTGCTAAGTTTGGTCTTGATCAGTCATTGGATGAGGGTCACAGCAGTCTCAGAAAGTGAGTTAAGGTACTGCAAGTCCCATCATCCATAGTCTCCCTCAAACATCACCAGAATGTTGAGTTGGCCATGGGGGCTCTCTGTGCCAAGTTTGGTCTTTATTGGTATTTGGATGAATGTCACTGTGGTTTCAGGAAGTGAGTGAAGGTACTGCAAGTCCCATCATCCATTGTCCGTACTCCTCCAAACAGCACCAGGATGATCGGACATTAGTAAGGGTTGCAGCAGTCTTGGGAAGGGAGTGGAGGTACTTGAAGTCCCATCATCCATGGTCTGTCCTCCTCGAAAGTGCACCAGGATGTAGAGTGGGTAATGGGGACTCTGTGTGCCAAGTTTGGCCTTGATCAGTCATTGGAGAGGGTCTCAGTGGTCTCAGGAAGTGAGTGAAGTGACTGCAAGTCCCATCATCCATTGTCAAATTCTTCCAAACCGCACCAGGATGTAGAGTGGGTCATGCGGGCTTTCTGTGTAAATCATGGTCCTGATCCATCATTGTTGGCAGTTGTAATGGTCTTAGGAAGGGAGTGCAGGTATTGCAAGTCCCATCGTCCATGGTGCATCCTCCTCCAAACTGCACCAGGATGTAGAGTGCATCATGGAGACTCAGTGTGCCAAGTTTGGTCTTTATCGGTAATTGGATGAGGGTTGCAGTGGTCTCAGGAATTGAGCAAAGGTACTGCAAGTCCCATAATCCATGGTCCATCTTCGTCCAAACCACACCAGGACATAAGGTGGGTCATGAGAGGTCTATGTGGCAAGTTTGGTCCTGATCAGTCATTGGATGAGGTTAACAGCCGTCTCAGAATGTGAGTGATGGTACTGCAAGTCCCATCATCCATGGTTGCAGTAGGATGTCGAGTCGGTCTTGCAGGCTCTGTGTGCCAAGTGTGGTCTGTATTGGTAATTTTCTGACGCAGCCCCCTCTGGCCTTTTCCTTTCCTCTCTTTGTCATCTCGGAATCTTGGAATTGAGGCTGGCCAATCAGAGACCATATGCAAATTTCCTTCTCATGTCTCCGTTTCTGTCATGAACCCTTTTCTCCACCAGGGGCTCCTGTTGGAGCTGGCCAATCAGAGACCATATGCAAATCGTACCACAGTGGCAGCCAATCGGAATCTTGGAACTTTCAGGCTGGCCAATCAGAGACCACAGTGGCAGCCAATCAGAAAGCGAGCACATACACCGCCACACTTTTGTCCTCCGCATACAAGTTTTGACTTTTATTATATAGATAGATATAGATATAGATACTAGCTTGGGTACCTGGCACTGCCCGGGTTATTTGAAAAAGTATTTTTTTTTAACAAAATGCATAAGTTTGTGAGTGAACTACAACTCACATCATGACAGATTAACCCCCTGAAACTCCAGCAGTAGTTAAAGTTTGTCATATTGCGCAAGTTTGCACTAAATACATCATTGGGTTGTTGTAGGTTTTTTCAGGCTATATGGCCATGTTCTAGAGGCATTCTCTCCTGACGTTTCGCCTGCATCTATAGCAAGCATTCTCAGAGGTAGTGAGGTCTGAGGATACATCATTGGTGGGATTCAGTGTAATCTCTGGCTGCAGGATAAACTACAGGTCAAACCATGGTGGGTCAGTCCCCTCAAGTCCTTCCAGTAGATTCAGTTGGTCACAGGGGTTCTGTGTGCCAAGTTTTGTCCAGATCTGTCATCGATGGTGATCACAGTGTCTCTGGATGTAAGTAAACGACAACTTCCAGAAATGAAGGTCACTCAGTCACCCCCCCCCCCCCCCCCCCGGCAGCCTCTAGTATTTTCAGTTGGCCATGATGGTTCTGTGTGCCAAGTTAGGTCCAGGGCCATTGTTGGTGGGGTCCAGAGTGTTCTTTGATATTAAGTGAACCATAAATCCCAGTACCTACAACAGTTATGAATCAAGGTGAATTCCCCCACTTCTTTG